AGCGGATCAACTTTAGGATATGTCAACAGAATTTTTTTCCTTCTCTTTATAGCATTATTATACATCGCATTACGTCAATTGGACAGATGAAATATGATTATTTCGTTTGTTCCTCACGGTTGATTTATTTTAGGTTGAGCAAAGGATATGACGACCATGATGCGTTCAAATTCCGCTATTTGCGTAGCTTAGGTTCTAACTAACAATGATTTTCACGATAATGTGATAGTTCATCCTACAGAGCAAAAGAATAAAATTTTCGATGAATAATATAACAAAAAAAATTATAGATATTTTCACTGATAAACGTAAACTCTTGATTATATAATTCATATGCGGCCCAATAGATTGGGGTCTTAGGCTCGTCCCAATTTTTTGTTAGAGATAAGCGACATTGGCATATATTTTATTAAGCGTATGTTCGAATCGCACCATAGCGCGTCTTTGGAAATCTCTTTGGAAATCGCGCTCTCGACGTGACAGAGCTTCATCGATACTCGCGAGGTCGTCGACGAGGCTCGCACGAGGAGGCCGATCTCAGCCGCTGCTAGGGACATAAATCCGACTGATCCATCCAGGGATTCAAGGCTCGCAGAGTGGACCGTACAATCGTGTCTACTTCAGCCATTGCGCCCATGCCCACGTCACCACACATCAACGTTTTGGATACGCAGTGCACTTCTTTATAGCCCCAGGATTTGAGCAGTGATACCTGAAAAAAAAATAAAATGACTGTTTTCATTTAAAAAAGAAAAAGAAAACCACATATAAGAAGACAGAACAAATTTAATTATGTTTATCGTTAATTGTTGTTTTCTATATCTGTTTATTAAAACTTTTTAAATATTTTCATGGATTTAACAAAATTTTTGGTTTTCAAGAAATTTCATACAAATCTTAAATTTAATTTAATTCAATTTAAATGAATAGTATACATATGCGATTTTTGCGTTTATTGTTTTTAAAAATTAATATAAAAAGGATCATATATTTTATCTATTTAGCTGTTTTAAAGAATATTCTTGATACTGTTTTTCCTTGCTTGATTATTAATACTATTCTTTCCATCTTACTTGAGGCATTGTAACTGGATGCTCCCACATCCTGGTGTTCATTGCTGGGCAGAAGAGGAGTGACTTTGAAGGATCCCATGCGCGTGCCACGCAGGTAACAATATTGTCGCATATGCCACTGGCAATCTTGCCCAGGGTATTAGCATCCAATGGCGCTATCACGAATACATCCGCCCATTTCACCAGATCTATGTGCAGCACTGGATCACCACGATCCTGCCAGGCAGCCCACTCCACTGTGTCGGATAAGACCTGGATATCGGATGGCAGCTGAGCATCCTTTAGGAAATGTTTGGCTCTCTCCGTCACAACTACTCTTACTTCCAGATTATTCTGTCGTAGCATTTCTACCAATTGGGGCAACTTGATCGTAGCCACACTACCAGTGCAACCTACCAATACTCTTTTTCTGGAGGAGCTCGCCATTTTCTTTATCTTTGCGTTACCCTCTATTCTATATCAATTTGCACGAAGAATCTGATAGACTCTTAGTTTTCAACGTAATAAATATTGGAATTCTCTATTTATTTAAGGGATATTTATTCTCTTAGGCCACTTGGGTTGCAACACAATCCAACCATATAACAAGCTACAAGAACTGTCTTTATGTTAAAAAAGACCGATCCGATATCAGATGATGTAACCGAACTTTTAATTTTCTTTCTTATGAAAATAAAAGGTAGATACACGGGTTTTTAATATCGTTCAGTTCTCTCTCTCTCTCTCTCTCTCTCTCTCTCTCTCTCTTGGTCTTTTTTTTAAATCTATTGTCTTTATTGTTACGTTTTCTCAATTCTGAGAGGAAGTCCTTGTTACACCTGGCTGGCAGTGCGTATAATCGCTTGAACACACTGAATCACTGAATTATCATAATGGCATCTTATTTAAATCGACAGTTTCAAGAGCACCGATTAAACAAAGTATACCAGGCACTCTCGAAGAGACTCAAGACGACAACAATGACAACGACGACGACAAGGATACGATCTCTCCTTTCTTAGGGTATCTGCTCGTGAACGATATCGACGTTACGTTTCCTTGGCATCCTTGATCTCATCGGTGAAGCCGAGTTTGGACCAATCCTCACGCGTCATCAGATCATGGTCCATGCGGCAGCCGAGGTACTCCTTGGCGATGTCGCGACACATCGTGTTCTGATTGCGATTTTCGGACAGGCAGCGCATGTACCTGATCATGATGCTCTTGCAACGGCCCTCATGGTCCAGCGGGAAGCTGCCGCGCTCGGGTGGCGTTGGCGTGAACAGCTTCTGCGAGAACGTGTACGAGGACATACTACGCCACTTCACACGCTGAAATCATACGAGAATGCGCGAATACCTCGTACGACGAATACTTGGAACGAGTGAGGTCTCTTCAGCCTCCACGGCGATTCGCCATCTTGGCTGACCGTGATCCAGATCCACAACGATCCACACTTCTCCGTCATTCCCCTCACGCCACCCCACGCCAAACCAAATTCATCGACGAACGCCCCTGTCTGTCGCCCTTACAGAACGAAAAGATTTTCAGCGCCACCTGTCTCTTCTAGCCATTGAGGTGGTAAACTAAACGCGACACACGTGACTAAAAATATAGAATTTGCGGTAATTTTAAATCTTCTATCTATTTCTATAGATAACATGATTTACCCAAAAAATGATAGAACGTGTTATTTTTATAAATTTACATTGTCAATTTTATTAGTGATTATAATTATGGTGGAAGGAATAAGATTCTGATTTTAGATATAACATTATTTTGCATAAAATTTGCTAAATCGCCGTTTTATTATAATAACTCTATTTTTTTATAGCTCTCATACAGCATAGAAGATTAAAAAAATTGCCAATATTGCTGCAATGTTGCAATATTGAAGATAGCAATATAAGATATTACGGAGATGTATAATGTAAGACGAATAATGTAAGATATAATTGCATTGTAGAGATATTACGAAAATGTAAATTAACAATATGCCTGCGAGAATGGGGTATTTATATGGTAAATTAACAATATACCTGTAATATTCTAGAAACATTACAAAACTAATTCTTTAATTGTTACTGTAATAATAATATAAAAATATAATTATAAAAATATAATTTTTTATAATATT